CCCCCCGAGTCAGAAATACATGTTAAATCACAACTCAATAATACAGTATGCAAACAATCTGTCTACTGGTTTATCTATCTTTCAATCGAGAGAGAAAGAGAGAGAGAAAGGAAGAGAAACCAAATTCCATCACACAATATTTTACTACATGGGGTTTATTCTGATAGTTCCCACTCCCATGATAGTCTATTTCATTTATTAAGATACCAGTCTTGGCCTTTTCTTCGCTGTTGATTTTACACTTCTGAGACACATAGTAGATTGAAAAACACTGGCACCTGTATAATGGTAATAAAAAATGGCTTTGTCCCCCTGGAGTCAAACAATGGAGTGGAAGACAGTGCCCTTTTCATATTGGAGGGGACCAGTAGTCAAAGAGTTAGGGAAAAGGTTCTGGTTCCAGCAGCTTTTCCGTTTGGTATTACACAGTAAACAAGTGAACTTTGTCAGGGTCTATACTCCAGATGCCTCCCTGTATGTGTGTCCCTGTGGCAGGTGAAGGGATAGTACACGGGCCACACTGTCCTCTCTGAGTCAGCTTTCCCACCTCTGTCCTACATTTGAGAGGCGGTTTCTGTCCCCTCATCTGTGGAAGCATTCTTGCCTCTTAGGGCATATTCCGCTGGGGTTTTTCTCTGTTTCACCGTATCCAACATATTGTTCTGATGGTCCCCTCTACCTGGAGAATTCTTACTTCTGATCTCTATAGGATTTGCTCCTGGCCTTTGTTCAAATGGCAGGACCCATGAATCCAAAGGCTTTGGAGAGATTCAGCCTGCCCTCCATTTTCTGTGAATACCTCGAAGAGCTGTTTGTTTGTTTGTTTTTACTGCTGAGTTGTATTCCATAGAATAGATGGACCACAGTGTGTTTACCCAACCACCTACTGGGAAACGTTTGGGTTGTTTCCCGGTTTGGGCTATTACAAACAAAGCTGCTCTGAGTAAGAATGTAGGGGTTTTGTGTGGACATAAGTTCTCCTTGTCCTGGGATAACTGCCCAGGAGTGGAATTGCTGGATTGCATACAGTGTTGTGTGTAGCTTTTTGAAAGAGACGACCAAACTGCTTTCCAGAGCGGCTGCACCACTTTCCCTTCCCATCAGCCATGGGTGACAGACCCGGTTTCTGTGCCCCCTGGCCAGTCCTAAGCAGGGTCACACAACTAAACTGTGTTATTGTAACTCTTCTGAGGGGTGCGCGGTGACACCTCATCATGGTCTGAACTCACATTTCCTAAATGACTGGTGATATTGAACATCTTTTCCCGGGCCATTTGTATATCCTCTTTGGTAAAATGTCTCTTCGTGTCTTGTGCCCACCTTCATTTATTTATTTCTTAAGTAGGCTCCACACCCAGCGTGGGGCTTGAACTCAAGCCCCTAGGATCAAGTGTCAGATGCTCTATCCACCGAGCCAGCCAGGCATCCAGGTTGATTGTTGTTTTAATGTTGGGTTTGAGAATTCTTCACATAGTCTAGATATGATAGTCCAGATACGTGGTTTGCAAATATTTTCTCCCAACTGTAACTTGCCTGTTTATCCTCTTAAGAGGGTCCTTTCCCGAGCAAAAGCTTTTAATTTGATGAAATTCAATGAGTCACATTTGTCTTTTATGGATGTGTTTTTGGTGTCATGTCTAAAGCTCTGCAAGCCTGCGGTCCTCCAGATTTTATTTTTTTCTAAAAGTTTTATACTTTTATGTTTTTTTT